GACTAAATTCGAATTCGCGCCTGGAAATCCCACATTAGGGGGTAAAGCGCTCCCTAACAAAGCCAACTTCATACTCAGGGCTCGAACCCGAGACATCTGGTTAAGGATGATGGAGTACTTACCATTNATTCAAGAGCTCCTTCCACCCCTCTCACTCAATTCTTTTGTTCCAATATTATACATGCCTGAACTTTTCTTTTTTTTTACTAATTCTATAGGTAAGTCCAAAGTACAGAGCAAAAAGAGAAAAAATCATAATATTTAAAAAGTATTAACAATAAAGGTTGATAATTTAGAGTGTAAAGTCAGTATTTAGTCACCGAAATTTTTAGAAATCTAGCAAACTTTATGAGTAATATAAAAATAATTAAGTGACTTTTTTATAATAAATAAAAGAAATATAACTTTACTAGGTTCAATTAACAGTTGATAAAGCTTTATATACCTAGAAATATCTAGATTCAAAATGCATTTCATATTACAATTTATTTCGACCATTATCTTAAATTTATTTCAAATGATGCTTGTAAACATGTATATAATTATCTTTTCTCACTTCTTGTATGCTCACTTTTTATTCGTGGACATGTTTTTTTTGTTTGTTTTTACCTGGTGAACGGTATCGTAAAAATAGCACGGTATGGCCAGTTTTTGGATTGGTCATTCAAAAATAGTCAGCATTTACTAAGTCAATGAAAAATATCCACTATTTTGCTCCAGCAGAGACCGGTCCAGCATAATATACTGGAGTTTGGTGCCCATGTGTATGAACTCCAGCATATTATGCTGGACCGGTATACTTTGCTTGCTCCAGTATAATATACTGGAGGCTGGAGCACCGGTGCTCCAACCTCCAGTATATTATGCTAGACCGGTATACATGCTGGAACTCCAGTATATTATGCTGGAGTTCTAGTGTACTTATGATGGAACTCCATCATATTATGCTGGAGTTCCAGCATACTTATCTTGGAACTCCAGTATAATATGTTGGAGTTCAAGTATACTTATGCTGGAAGCATAATAAACTGGCGTATTTTTCGGGTTTTGAACAATGTTTTCGTTCAGATTTATCTTTACATTAAAAGCGACTAAATTTCGATTACTTTTGAAGCTAGGCTATTTTTGAACGATCAGTTGTAAATCTGGCTATTTTTGAATTTCAATTGAGGCTACGTACTTCGAATTCGCATTGCACATAGCCCATTAAACAGAAAATTGCTCCTTACTACAAAAAGGTTTTATCCCTAAAGCTCGAACCGGAGACATTTAATTAAGGGCGAAAGTTCCTATTTATCGATCCCATCACAATTCTTAGTGGTATTTATAGACATGATCAATGTTAGCTACGTAGTTATTTTCATGAATATACTCAAATTTTACACTGTCTTAATTCTATGGAGCTCAAATTTTCCTTCTACACCAATGATAGCACACTTTCACTTGTTTCTTGAAGAAATGAAATATTTAATAAAAGAAAAGAAAAAGAAGAAATGGGAAAAGAAGAAAGAGACCAATCAAACCTATAGTATTTTGTTGTTTGTTTTAGCTTTGTTTAGTTTAATTTGACAAGGACTTGAAATTGTAGCTTATATCGAAAAAAGCAGTTGAACAAAATTGTAGAGTTGCATATTACTCTAGCAATTTTCAATAACTAAAACTTCCAAGCAACAATAAATTATTGAGAAACTTATCTTTTTAATCACTCTAAGAAATAATAGCTGAAAAAAATATAAATTTGCTAGATATGTTTTTATTATATAAATATTATATACATATCTTATTCATATCTATTTGTCACTGCTTGTATGCTCACTTTTTATTTGTGGATGTGTTCTTCTTCTCCTCCTTTTTTTTTGTGTGTGCATGTTTGGTTTCTGCCGGTGAATGGTATCCGTTGAGGTTTTGATTAATCCTAATTCACCCTACGCATGGCCTACTAAACAAAAAAGTGCTCTGTAGCAGAATTTTTTCATTCCGGGTGCTCGAACCTGAGACATCTAATTAAGGGTGAAAGATCGCATCCATCCCATCGTTGCCCTTATTGGTATTCTTGGACATGATCAATTGTTCAAATTTCACACTACCTTAATTCTAAGAAGCTGAAATTTTCTTTCTGCACTAATGATAGCACTATCTTTCACTTGTTTCTTGAAAAAGGGAAATATTTAATAAAAGAAAAGAAAAAGAAGAAAGAGACAAATCAAAACTATAGTATTTTTTTGTTTGTTTTAGCTTTCTTTAGTTTAATTTGATAAGGACTTGAAATTGTAGCTTATATTGAAAAAAGCAGTTGAACAAACTTTCCCTCTAATCTTATTTCATTTCAATTTCTTCCTTTGATAGTTACCTATCAACTCCTCCTTGAAGTAACCCTTGCAACTTCCCTTCTTTCAATATAGCCACTCCAACTACAACTAAAAGCAATTCCCCTCCTAATCCTCTTACAAATTCCTATAAATACCCTAAAAAAATCCCCATAAAAAAAACAATATTAATCTTGCAGTCAGCTAGCAACAATAACAACAACAAACTCAGTGAATTTTCACAAGTCGGGTACTGCAGTTAGCTAGCCATGTCCCAATTTAATTCGTCGATAGCGTTAGCCGAGAAAGTTTCATGGTATTGTGGCTTGTTCTTGGCCATAATGTTGGTTTTGAGCTGGTTTGATCAATACAATGAGAGTGAATTCATAGTTCAAATGCAAAAGCAAAAGATGGTTAGGGAGAAAATGCCATGTGATGAGATTTATGTGGTAAGAGAAGGGGAAACTTTGCAAACAATTAGTGAAAAATGTGGAGATCCTTTTATTGTTGAAGAGAATCCACATATTCATGATCCTGATGATGTTTACCCTGGTTTGGTTATCAAGATTACTCCTTTCAAGAATAATAGGTAGAAAGTTGTAAATTCTATTGCTATATATATTTTTTCTTTACTTTTTGGTATCCAGATCCTACTGATCTGATTAATCCAGATTTACGTTACATAGGACGTACACCAAAGAAGGAAGGACTGGCTTCCAAAAATTTCTCCATTTTCTGGGTTCGAACCCGAAACTTCTTCTGCTATATATTGAAATTTATTTTAATTTGCATATGAGCTTGTAATTTAAATTCTTGTTCATGAGTATCCAAGAAATTTTACTCATATATGGTTCAGCTGTAAGAACCATAAATATAGGGAAGCCTTGTTCAACTATGTTGTTGATTAAGTGATTTAAGAAAAAGTGAAGTTATTTGAAAACATAACTGATATTTCAATTACCTTCAAACGTAAATACTTCGAAGGTAATTGAAGACGAGTTGTATTCTTTGATCTTATTCTTGTTTATGAAGATGGCTTTGACCTCTCTTATACTCCCTCCGGTCCAAAATAAGTGATTTTTTTGCTTTTTTCCTGTGGTCCAAAATAAGTGATTTTTTCAGATTTCAAGAACGAATTAATTATTTTTTTCCTACATTACCCTTGGAGTAATTAATGTTGGAGTATGTATTAGGAGTGTTTATGTGAAGAGATAGTAAAGGTTAATATGATCAATTTCATTGCTAATTAATATTAAAAGGTGAATTTCTTAATATGTATGAAAACAATCAAAAAATCACTTATTTTGGACCAAAGGGAGTAATAGTTAAACGTGCCTAATCATCAATAGTGGCGCACACAAAATTTTGTGCAATCATATCAGAGGGGGATTTGCATCTATACGCGTTTTTTGTGTCACATTTTAACTTATGTCCGCTTTGCAAAAAAAATTGCAAGCATACCAATTTTTTCGCATAACTTCAGTACACGGGGCTGAAGCAGCAAAGGCAATCACGCAAAACTTCAGCATTCTAGTAGCCGGGCCTGAAGTTTTTGTATTGTAACTGGAAACTTTAGCTCTAGAGCTGAAGTTTTTGTGTTGTAACTAGGAAACTTCAGCTCTAAAGCTGAAGTTTTTGTGTTGTAACTGATTTTTTGTTTGTAAGCTAGTACATTGTTCTTGTGGCAGCAACACCATTTTGAGTTTTAGAGCTGTTACAGATAATGTGGCATTTATGGCGATTTACTTCGTGTGCGGGTGTGAGGGGAAAACTAACGTTTCATTTCCATTGATGAAAAAGAAGAAAAAGACACCAAAATGAAGTTATATTAAAAGATGACAAATTAAACATGCTTCATTTAATTAGGGAACTTTGTCTGTGTCTTTCTTCACTCTCTTTTTTTAAAATCTCTTATATTGCCTTATTCTTTCAACAGATATTGTAAGTGAGTTTGTAAATTTCAATTACTTTTAAAACTATGACTATTTTTGAGTGAGCACTTATAAATCTGGCTATATTTAAATTTCTTCCCATATTAACGGCTCTACTATTTGCTAGTGTAGACAACGTTGAAGTGAAAACAGGAATGTGGAATTCCTTATTATATGCGAGTAATAAATCATCACTAACATTCTTCAAAAGTATCCTTTTACAATATTTCTTGCTTCATCAATTCTTTGATTTCAAAATCAAATTAATTATAATTATCGTTTGAGTTTAATTTCTTACTTAAAGACATAAGATCATTGAGTCTACATTATTGTCACGACCCAATTTAGGATCGTGACCGGCGTTTAGGAGCAAGTGCTCCCAAGTAAGCCTTATCGGTATTTTACAGAAAATCGAACAGAGTTTCCCTTATTTTTGGATTATTCCAAAAAAATTCCTGTCTCAAATCAACAACCAAACATCCTAATATCATACCAAATAATCGACAACTTATCAATCAACCAAAATGAGTCTCCACCATTATTAATCAACCCACTAACAACCAGAAATGCTAATTTATCTCCAACTTTGATAATAAAGAACGATACTCAGCATAAGACTATAATAAATAAATAATACTCATGACACTAAAAGAATGACTATGGAGCGACTCTAAGAATTCAAAGAATAGACCATAACAATAAATAAAATCTCCGCTCACGCGAACAAGTGCGAGGCTCACCAAGAACTATCAACATGTGCGCTCTAATTAAGGAAATTCTCGCCTGCGTCAACTGCTGTCTCTGTAAAAAAAAATTAGCGGGGAAAGAGTCACTAGCTCAGTGAGTAATAACACTTAACTACAACCGTTTTTATTGGGGACAAGTCAAAAAACATGCTAGTATCTCAAACAGATAACATCAAAATGCCCTTTCAGAAACAATAAATAATTTTCAGTCTCATCATGTTTTTCTTGTAGTATAATACAATTAACAGTTCAGTAATAAGCTCGGTAACCACTGTATAATATCAATATTCACATTTGGGAGGTTTCAATGAACGGATCATGTAATTGGTATAACAGTGGACTTCTTCGCAAGAAGTCAAATATAACGGTAGTCCCTACTCGAGGAAAATCGGTAAAGGTATGCTAGTTCTACCTTTCCACTAGCGAGGGCTATAACGATAATCTGTAATTACATGATGCACTAGGTCTAACTAATCCGCCGTTAGCTACGGGATCCTTCAATGTCTACTCCCATTTATACTTGTCTCTGTAATCCGTATATACTCGTAGAAAATATTTTAAAACAATATAGGGCATTTCGGTTTTTATCAAATCATGTAATTTCGTTTCAGTAACGGTAAATCTTATCTCAAGTAACAGTAAAACGTATTCAGTAATAATGAGAATATTCAGAATAACTGTAATCGTCTAAAATAAATATAGTAGTATCATATTGAGTAAAGGACTTGTCCCACATGCAGATTCAAATCAGTCGGTAATATGCTCATATTAAAATCATATATAAATCATGCTAGTTGTAGAAATACAAATTGAAGTAAGGTTACTACTCACAGTACTCGTGTGAAATACCAAACTCGTCACCTTGAGTGATCCGTACAACTTTCTTCAATCAATCTATAACCACATCAACATCGATCTCGTGTTAATTGCCTCATTTAGGCTAAATTCATCACTAATTTAGAATACCCAATCCTTCGAGTTTTATATTTTATCATCAATTCGCCAAATTATATTTACCCATGCTACGAGTAATTTAAATTAGTCCAAAATCTTTTAAATAAAAAGGTATTTATATGGTTTATTCCCTTTACTGTTCAATTTTCTTAATCATGTGCATAAGTTGAAACTAAAATAACTTTATTGTCCATCATATTCCTTCTTAATTGGTACCTATCTTTTGTACTCAATACTAGACTCATAACATTCAAACCCAAATTTGATATTGTCATTGCAATACAGTTAACACCAAAACTCAATCCTTGCACCCTAACTTAATTTACACCTAAACAAAGATCATATATAATGAGACTAGTTTAAGTACAAATACATCGATACCCTTCTTTTTCCAAGTTAATTTATCCTACAATAACATTGACCAACTTCCAATTGCATAATTTGCCCAGAATAACTCTTATTGGTATTAAATTTCTTATACCTTGTGAAACTCATTAAATATATGAACTGAGATAAAAAAAAAATTACCAGATGAAAAGAACCTAGATGAGAAATTCTAGTATTACTCGTAAGAAATAGTGCGTATTTAAAATTTCTCAAGTTTTGGTTCCACCCTTTTTCTTCTTCTTCTTCTCCCTTTTGAAATTTTGTTTTCTCTGCGATCTCTCGTTTGCGCTTTCTTTTGTTTTGTCAAAAATGGGCTTCGACACTTTTTGCTTTACTTATTTTTTTTTGAGTTATTTTGTTTTAGTAATTTGCTCCCTCTTTTTTTTAGTTATTATTATTATTATTATTATTTTGTTAATGACCAATACATCCTTATTAAATATAGGGTATTACATCCTTCCCACCTTATGAAATTCGGTCTCCGAATTTAACTCAAGTACGTACCTGTAAACTGAAACAAATGGGGATACTTCGCTTGCATATCTTTTTCTGCCTCCCAAGTAGCTTCTTCAACGGTATGAATTCTCCATAAAACGTTAACGAACACAATTTTTTTTGACCGTAGCTTTCTTACTTGTCTATCAACAATTGCCGTCGGCTCCTCCTCGTAAGACAACTTCTCATCACGCACTATAGTTAGTGCTTCAAGCACCTGCGATGAGTCTGATATACATTTTCTTAGCATTGAGGCATGAAACACTGGATGAATAAAGGACAACTCGGGAGGAAGTGCCAAACGATAAGCCACAGCTCCTACTCGATCTAGTATCTCATATGGTCCTATAAACCTGGGACTCAGCTTGTCTCTTTTCCCAAATCGCATCACACCTTTCATAGGAGAGACTCGTAGGAACACTTTGTCTCCAATTGTGAACACTAAATCTCTTCTCCTCTTATCAACATAAGACTTTTGTCTGCTTTGAGCTGTAAGAAATCTCTGTCTGATCAACTGAACTTTGTCCATTGCTTTTTGTACTAAGTCGGGTCTTAATAAGTTAGTCTCACCAGCTTCAAACCATCTGATAGAAGAACGACATCTTCTACTATACAATGCTTCGTACGATGCCATTTGAATACTGGACTGGAAGCTATTGTTGTAAACAAATTCAGCTAATGGTAGATAAGTGTCCCAACTACCTCCAAACTCAAGAATGCAAGCTCTCAACATATCCTCCAAGATCTGAATAGTACATTCAGACTGCTCGTCTGTCTATGGATGAAATGCAGTACTAAGATCTACTTGTGTACCTAATGCTTCTTGAAATGATTTCCAAAAGCGTGAAGTGAACTATGATCCTCTATCAGAGATGATGGATACTGGAACTCCGTGAAGTCGGACAATTTTGTTCATAAATATCTGTGCATACTTGACTTCACCATATGTAGTCTTCACCGGCAAAAAATGTGTTGATCTCGTCAGTCGATCTACAATCACCCATACCGAGTCATAACCTCTAAGGGTTCATGGTAGCCCGGTGATAAAATCCATAGTAATTCTTTCCCATTTCCACTCTGGAATTTCAATTTGTTGTAGTAGTTCTGCGGGTCGCTGATGCTCATCCTTGACCTACTGACAAGTCAAACAACTAGAAACAAAGTTAGCAACATCTTTCTTATACCTTTCCACCAATAAAATTGCTTCAGGTCATGGTACATTTTTGTGGATCCAGGATGTATAGTGTATTTAGTGTTGTGAGCTTCTTTAAGAATAACATGTCTCGACCCATCTACGTCTGCTACACATAATCTGTCACCCATTCGAAGAACACCATCACTTTCAACAATCATATCCTTGCTTTTACCAGCTAAGGCCTCATCCCTGTATTTGCATAATCGTTCATCCTCATATTGGGTGGCCTTAATGCGCTCAACTAATGAAGACTTAGCCTAAGCACAAGCCAACAATGCCTCTGAATTTCCCACACTAAATCTAATACCTGTATCTTCTAGTCTCCGAATATCTTTGGCCAAAAGTCTCTTTGTAGGGGCTATATGTGCCAAACTCCCCATAGATTTTTTGCTCAATGTATCAACCACCAGATTGGCTTTTCCAGGATGATATAAAATAGAACAATCATAGTCTTTGAGTAGTTCCATCCATCGACGTTGCCGAAGATTCAGATCTCTCTACTGATAGATATACTTCAGACTTTTATGGTCGGTATAAATCTCACAAGTTTCGCCGTATAGATAATGCCTCCAATTTTTTAGAGCAAATACCATTGCAGCCATCTCCAAATCATGTGTAGGATAGTTTTGCTCCTGCTTTTTCAATTGTCTCGAAGCATAAGCTATAACACGACCATTTTGCATGAGAACACATCCTAATCCCACCCTCGAGGCATCACAGAATACTGTAAATCCTCCAGAACCTAATGGTAAGGCTAATATTGGTGCAGTTGTCAGACACTTTTTGAGTTTCTGAAAGCTTTGCTCACATTCCTCCGTCCACTGAAACTTTGCATTTTTCTGTGTTAGCTTGGTCAGTGGTGCTATTATTCTGGATAAATCCTGCACAAAATGCCTGTAATGGCTTGCTAAGCCTAAAAAGCTGTGAATCTCTGTAAGAGAAGTAGGTCTGGGCCATTTCTGCACAGCTTTGGTCTTCTTAGGATCTACCATAATTCCATCTTTGGATGCAACATGTCCCAGAAATGATACTGAGTCTAGCCAGAATTCACACTTCGAGAACTTAGCATAAATCCGATGTTCTCGCAATGTCTGCAACACAGTCCTAAGATGATTCTCGTGTTCTCCTTGGCTACGAGAATATATCAGGATATCATCAGTAAATACTATTACAAATCTATCCAGAAACGGCTTGAACACCTTATTCATTAAATCCATGAATGCAGCTGGAGCATTTGTCAGTCCGAAAGGCATCACAAGGA